GGACACCGAATATTCATGCATGTAGTGTCAGCACCACTTTAGTTTTCTAAAGGTCGACTTCGATGTTGCGGTGACTCTGGTGCTGCACGACCAAGTGGGTCCGTTGCATTTGGTTGTTGGCTTGCAACTGCAGATTCCTTAGCGGTCGGTTGCCGCAGTAGTTAGCGTTGAACGGGGTCTCCTGCGCGTGCTGGCGGGGGTCCTGCATCGTGGGCGTCATGTGGCCTCCAACACCGCCATGGAGCCGACTCGACTGTGGTTGTTGTTGCTGTTGTTGTAGTACCGCGGCTCGCCCCACTTTTTTTAGAAAAGGTCTTATGTCTCCAAGTTCCCCTGCTTGGCCTCGTCACTCGTGCTCCCAGACTGTCGTCACTGATCCCAGATTTGGACGAATTAAACAAGTATCTAAAGGAGGCGAAGCTGCTGTTTCCACCGCTTCCAGCTTCGTCAACACCTGCGCCTCCTTCTCCACCACCGAAGAATCCTCCATCTCCGCCTCCGCCCGCTTGTTTGCCACTCTGTCCACTCCCGACACGTCCATTTCGACCATTCGAAGACCGATGGAATGCTGTCAACGGAGAAACTGCGACGTCCACCAGAGACGTCTGCGGGTTCAAGAGACACGTGCCTTCAAGAGAATAGTGAAAGGAGCCGCCATCCCTGCCATAGTTGGCGTGGCACCTGTGCCTCCAGCTACTAGAGCGGAGTAGTCTGCACTACTCGCAGCGAAGCCCCAGCCGAGGTGTCCATGTTTCGCTGAGCGCCCCTCGAAGTCTCTCGTGTCTCCCGGTACGTTCGCGGAAATAGCTGCTTGTCCAGTCACACGAAAGTCGAGTGGGATTGTTGTAGCATCAGGTGCAAGACCAGATTCTGCGTGATCTAAGCCATCGCCGTTGAACCCACCACGACCGTCTTGAAGGCCCCCACCGCAAACCAGAATGTCCACAGCATCACCGGCAGTGACACATTGTGGACGGAGCGACAGTAACCAGCGTAGTGACCGCCGATCCCTCCGAAGTAGTTGACCCGGTCGACGTGCTCGGCGGGCTGTTCGCTGCTAGAGGTGACTTGGTAGTGGCTGATGGCGTTTTCGTCGTGGATGTTGGTGTCTTGGTCGTGGACGTCGGAGTGGACGACCCGGAAGTGTCCGAAGACGTGTCCTGGGTCTCCTCGCTCGAGACGGAGTCTTTCGCCTCGCTTGTGCCGTCAGAACCGACCCCGATAGTGCCCGGGTTGTCGTACGACCCGTCGCCGACACTACCACACATGTCAGAAGATGTGTCGGGCTCGTCGTCCGAGTCACTGCCAGAAGACGTCGAAGACTTCGTGGTGGTCACACTGCTATGCAGGTTCGTGCCCGTCGGCAGCGAATACCGGAACACACATGGCACCGAACCTGCAGTGGCCGAAATGGTGCCACTGCCCGATGAAGTCAACACCGTCTAAGTAGTCGGGGTCGTCTGCGCTGCTGCGACAATCCACGCGGTGGCGGCAGCAATTTCCGCTCCATACACTCGCATTTTTGTTCATCTAAAGTCGTCATCAACCGTGTAACTGGTCAGGAAGGTTGCGAACTGGTAGAAGCTACCAGCTTGCCGTTCTGAGACACGTGACGTACGTGGTGCATCCTTTCAGCGACGCCATTGATATGTTGGCTAGTCGATTGCTGCAATCTACCAGCTCAGGTAGCACGCGCGTCCACGTCGAGAGTTGTGCGGTATATCTCATCCTAGGTTAGCGCTTCCAGGGCATGTCCGCCCTGTAGTTCAGGCGTGTTCTAGATCACAGCAGTCTCATCCTTGCCTCCATTAGTAACATCCTTCATCCGTGCGAACGGACGCAAGCCGGACCTGCAAGTGGGCTTATATGAAGTAAGAAATGAAAGTCGTAATATTAAATGTTAAGAAACTTGGGATACAAATGATAAATGAGATCTCGCACCTACGTCGTTGCCTCGATTTCTTTCTGCTTTGAAGGTGAGACTCGAAAGCCCGTCCTGTAAGCTTCCGTTGACGTTTGGAGCGCCGACAACCCCGGGATACGCCTTTCGATTGGCCTTGATATTTAGGAGATTTCTCAGTCGGGACGTGTTCGTCCTCGAGGCTATAGTCCAGTATCTCCGTCGCAGCAGAACTCACAATGAAAAGGCGATGAACTATGCGTAGAGGTGGCTGGCTCAAATCCTTGCGCGTCATCTTCGTCCTCTGCAGTATGGTCGACGGCTGTTTGCACAGTCGGTGGCTCCGCCCGATCTCTCTATTGCATGATTTGAATCAGAAGAAGAATCTTGATTTCTGTCGCCCATTCTAATATCTCCGGTCGATCTTCGCGTAGAAGCGCCAGAGACTTGAGACAAAGAGTCAGGTGAATTTTCTAGAGTCTGAGCATGGACATGGCTTGGCCTGACAAACTGTCTTAGCCGCATGCTTACTCCGGAGCACGCCACGCCTCCTTGCACACAGGCACTGATTACATGGCAGCACATAGCATGCTTCCTGTTGTAGGTGCACGAGCGAGACTTGTTCCTTGTATCTACGACCCCATCACCCGCAGGCATGCCTTCGGTTTGTTTTCGCCTAGAATTGGCCAATCTGATTGATCTAGCAACAAGTTTTTTTCTGAGGCTGCCAACCGCAATGGGCGCTGCTCTACACGATACTGATCAGCTGCTACAGATCCTATTTGAGGAAGGATATGCACCACGAGGCATTCTCTCTTGCAGTTAAAGCGATAAAGCCTTACCAGGCGCTCTGAAGCAGTAGGGACCGACGAAAATGCTGGCTTCGAGCTAAAAAAAGCCAGTCTGGCACCATTCAGGTTTGTATGAGCTCACTAGGTATGGCAGGTCCAGCAGGACATTGCAGCTTGACTTTGCGGTGATACTGCTCCAATGGATTATTGGTAGCCGCGTATTCGGGTGGTGTGTGATGAGCCTGCCAGAGCATAAAACGGTGCGATTTGACCCACATTTTAGCAATGTGATCAGTTAATTTACGTACTGGTGATCCCCAGGCACTCCATTTTGTCAGAATTTGGGTTTTCACAACTGGGTACTCTTGCTCACTAGCAAAGTGCATATCATAAAGATCCACAAATATAGATCTTGTGTCACCATCGCTGACAGGATTTACGAGAATGCTTCCATGCATTCTTTGTCACATGGAACCAGCACATTAAAACAACAGGGTGTGGTAGTTCTGTGACACATGCGTTAAATTGGGCTTTGTCAGCATCCATCATGACAAATTGTGGTGCAAATTGAACGCCAGCACAATCCATGCACACACGCTTCTGGTATCGGATGCGCCATCCAATGCCGATTGCAAGTTTCGGCGAGGTTCAAAAGTACACCATCGAAAAAAAGTGTCCAGCCCAATCCGAAACCCCAAATACAAAAACCATGAAGCCGTTTATAACCATGCTGTGGGTACTATCAATGTGCAAAATTGTAGTGAAATCGAGATGAGTCTGGACTGCAATGTAGCTTTGAATCAGACGTAAACCGGTCATCCTTACCCGTAGAGGGTACGCTTCCGATCCGTCACCAAGGTGCGATACAGTTCCCGCTGCACCGGGCTCCGTGTCGCGTTGGAAATCACATAAAATGATCATTGCTGTGTCTGATGTCGTCTCTGTATCGATTTGGTTATAGGGATGACCATCACACAGCTCTATCATCGGCGCCATGGAATCTTTAGGGTTCTTGCGTCTCCAGTTCCTAACGAAATCTGATACTTGTGAGCTAGTAGGAGCTGGACCATCGAAGCTATTCTGGTCAACCAGTGTGCAGATAAGAGAATGTAGACGTGAAGCCGTAGTTTGCTTACCAGCTCCGAGGCTGTCCGTAATTTAATATTTCATTTGCTGACTTAGCTAGCTCTTTACTGGTGTTGGGGGACCATCGGTGCCTATCGCATGATTGCCTTGTTGAAGCACCTCACACGTGGTAGATGACATACGGACTATGAACTTGTATCGACAGGGGCAGGTGCCGCTCGTGCTCGATAGCGTGTCAGTATCAGTGTCGGCCGCAAGCTGCAGCCGTGACTTGCAGCGCTCAGATTTACACAGAGCAAATTGTGAGCGCATTTTATGGCCACATCGATGCAAATCGTAGTTTTGATCAATTAAATGGTTAATCGTACACCCTACTGGGTTGCTTTATCAATAATGTGTGGTGGTAGAGCTGACCGATACCCTTCTAGAGCGTCTGGTTCTGTAGAGCGCCAAATAGTTGTCCAGGGCCGCCGCGGGCGAGATGCAGAACCGTCCTCTACGTCGGACTCCGATGAATCTAGCTGTAATGCTAAATGAGCGACTGTGCGATGAGCGTGTAAAACTATCTATTTCCGTATCCACAAGACTTCAATACTTTGGCTATTTTGCTGGTCGTATACCGGTATTTTTAGGTGGTGGTGGTGACCGTTTCTGTGTGTGGTGGATCTTCACTTTTTTATCATAGCAGTACACACAATTTAAAGTGGTAGGGCCAACGTTCTCTTATATATAAGCCTGCTTCGAGGTATTATATTTGATGTATCCGAACCAGGTCCGATTACGAACCCCCTGCTAAGGGCACACTGGTTTCACTCTGCCATTTTCCTGTTCAAGCGTACGTTGGCTTCAACACGAACCCTCGAAACCGACAGAAAGATAAATGTGAAGACTTTTGCTTTCGTTGTTATTGCTACGGTATGCGTCACGGCAACCAGTGCACAGCTCAAATGTGGTACACCTACGTGTATTCCGTCGAAGCCGAAAGGGTCAGTGCGTGCTGCAACAAGCAGCCAACGGATTTCGCCCAATGTTGCCGCACAAGCTGCTCGTTCGGCATCCCATGCAGCTGAGGCTGATTTCAATTTTCGCCGACTTTCTCAACAAAAACCGAAGTGCCAACATAATCAACGGTTAATTCATTTCACTATGGCAACAATTCTCTTTAGTGAAATCTGCTTTCAATTCTTATTGTACTTCAAATGCTTGCACGAGACATGAGCGAGCTACGACTGGTTTGTTCCATTCTGAGACCCTGCCAGTGTTTGTTCCAGCTGAGCTCGTAACCCACGACTGGCACCCTTGGTAGCAGTGTTTCCACCACTGCTTGATGCACTTCTGTGCAGCTTCCAGTCAAAGTTGTGCGTATTCACATTCGTAGCAGCAGGTTGCAGCTCGATGCCTCCTCCCATCAATGAGTTTCCGATCGTAAACGCGGGTGGACCAGTAGGTGGTGGACCCAGCTCCATCGCTTCACTGTTGCTATCCTCAGTCTCGTGAGTGGTGCTCGACGAGGTTGAACTAGTGTCTGGAGCCGCTGTCTGCTTCGTAATCTTTGTAGCCTCACCGTCCTCGCTAATAACACTTGATAATGACATTAATCTATCCAGACCAGGATTTGTCTTGGGTGGAGATGAAAGCGTCGTGTTCAGATCTTTTGTAGTCTCATTTGCTTGGCTGATCAGTCTCGTTAGCGACCCTAGTCTGTCCAGACTTGGATTTGTCCTGGGTAGGTTTAAAATCGAAATACTCCCGTTCGACAGTGAGTTTGACAGCAAAAACGATGGCGGATCATCAGGTGGAGGTCCAAGCGCAGCGAGGGCGTCCTTTGCCTCGCTTTCATCGTTCGACGAAGAACTTGTTGCGTGCTTAACGCTATCCGCTCGTTTCGGCAAAGAAAAGCGATGGATTCCGCCTCCAATCAGTAAATTCTGCAGTGTAATCGCTGGGGGCAGTTCCGGTGGAGACCCCAAAGTTTTCGAGCGCACCTCGTTACTTTGTGTTGATCCCGACGGCTCCAGTCGATAGAAACGAGTGTTGCTACTGGGGCTGCCAACTTCTCGTGGTGTCTCGCTTTTATTGTCCTTTGTCGATGCTCGTTGTGCATGATCAATTGCGGTCTGTAGTGCAGCCAATGGGTCAAATTTGTAGCTACCCAATGCTCCATGTTGCGTCGCATGCGAAGTTGTGGACGTCGCTGGAGTCGTCTCGATGCCTTTGTCATTAGCTGTCGAGAGACCTTCCAGTGCGGAGCGATACGAAGCTGAAGACGACGCAAGTTGGTGCAGCGCAGACGAGAGTCCAGCAGTCCTGTCCATCAGAAGTCCCGCTGACGACGACTGAGGGAAACTCGGTTGTGACCCTGACGGCAAGTAAGGTCTTAGTAGTTCCCCCAATGTGCTCAATCCGTCGCTATCATTGCGAGCAAACAGTGGATTTGCTCTAGGAGGCTCATCAAACTTCACATCGGACAAGTGAGACACGAAACTGGAGCTTGTGGACGATGACGAAGCTACTCCCGACGTCTCCGTGGACGCAGAGTGGATCCCAGGGACATTGGTGGACGACGTCGAGTGCTCGTCCGTGGAGCTACTGTGGTTGGTACTATGGCGTCCTCCTCTCTTGATTGGTCGACGGAATTGAGGCTCGTAGAAAATGGGTACGTGCTTCCGATTAGGTCGAGGCTTTGGAGGTGAGTCTGACGCTGGAGGAGCTTTTGTAGCGCGACGACTTCTTGTCTTAGTGGCCACAGTGGAGGCCGAAGAGGGCACATTGCCCTGCTGTTCACGGCGTAGTATTTTCACCTTGAGTGTCCCGCTTTCGGCCTTGGCTGTGAAGGCATTTTCCTTGAGCTTGCGCTTACTCCCAGTGGTCTCCGTGTCGGCCATGCTAACAGGAGTATACAGTCAGAATGATGGTGATACTCACACCTTCATAAGTTAGGTACGCCACATATGTTATGTTGTGTACATAATTCGTTTACTTTAAAAAAATGATGGAATGCTTTCATGCCGGATGGCTGTGGCGCAACGTGCTGTGTATCTCTTCGTTCCTGATTTTGGTCCAGGGGCTGCGTCGACTGCATAGTCTGGTGCTGGTGAATCAATGAGATTCAAGTTTCAACAATTTTAGGATCGAAGAGATGCAGGCCTAATTGAAGTAGCAAACGGTGCAGGACGCATATTGATCACGCTTTACGTTAGCTACAACATTCGGTAGATCTCCAGTCAGGAGCTGTGACGCCATCAGCGATCTCTTAATCCTCACGACTCGAGAGTTGTTGGTGCAGACTCTTGAACAGGTTGAGAAAGTTCGAAGTCCTGCAAATTGCAGGCAAAAGCGCATTTTCAGAAACAAGATGAGGTGAGGTGGTACATGTGTTGTTGCATCAACGCGGCTTCGAAACACTGAAACGGCAGCAGCAGCATGAGAAAGAATCGCAGGACGACCCAACAAAATGTAGCTATTAAATTCTAGGTACGGTGCTTGAAATCTGGTGAAAGAAAGTTTTGTTTTGCACTCGACGAACGCTATTCGTCAATCGCACCCAATGTTTTGAGAATCGCGAAATTTCTCTGCCTTCTTTAAATACCAAAGTTATGTTCTGGCAGCATTACACTGAAGAAACTGCACGCGGCGACGAAGAGTTTCCGACTGTTGGTAATCCTGGTCCGGAATGGCTAGTGTAACGTGATCAATTGCTGCTGGAATGCCTAGTACTCCTGCCAGCTCAAAAATACGTAGACGTACAGCCTGCCACACCAGGTCTGCCTGCATAGCGTCAGGGGAGCTCTGTTGTGCAGTATCGAGTCGTTGAAATGCGCCGACTCCACAGGTAAGCGCTACCACCCAACGATTCAACATGTCAGCGGATGAAGCGACGAATATGCCAATATTGTCGTCTCCATCCCCCGGGTCGTCAAGTAAAAGCGAAAAGCTGTTTAAAGGCGTCTCCTGCAGCAGAAGCCCCTTGATATCAACCAATGATATCGAGATTATTCCGGTATGCGTCTCCGTTGCCACTTGAAGTGTCGACCCGTCCTTTGTGAGCGTTAGCGTCACTTCCTCAGCCTCATTCTGAGGATTTGAAGCGGGGATATGTTGGAATCGAGTTCCCCGTTTGCCTTCTTGGATACCAGCCAAATTGAGCCTCTTTATTGTAAACAATATTGTTAACCCTTTCGCGAGTATTTGCTTAAGTCATTCTTACCTGGAGTTCAAGAAGACGCCGCGGTAGGGACTTGTCTGAAAGCTTAGGCGTTAGCTCAGAGTCCGTGAGGAGAACGTCCTAACAAGCTCTGAAGTCAGGGATAGTAAATATCATAGCCACGTTGACGGAAAACGAACCTGGAAGAGCTGTTGAGCTCTCCGCGGGTGAAGTGGCAAGGCAAGACTCGGCGTTGTCATGAATAAAATCCCACTATGGCGAAGAGTCTCATAAAAAATTATTTATTCTTATTCTTCCGTCGGGGTTCTCTAGTCTGTAAGAAAAATCGAATGAAGTTGACAGCACCCTCCATTTCCGTGATCAGTTCTTCAAACTCTTTCTCGTAGCTCGTAAAATCGCCCACGACACTCTCCGCCACAGCATGCAACAACTTGGCTACAAACACTTGCACTCGTCTCGCACAAACGAATTCCGAAGCTCGAGCCACAAAGTCCAGTGTCTCCATCAAAGCTCCCCGGTTACGTGTACTCAGAGAGGCTTTAAGCGTCGGAATCATCTGAGAGCTCACCAACTCCGCATAGCCATCAAGCATTTCCGCCATAGCGTGTCGGTTCTGTACATACAAAGCCAAAGCGGCTTTAGTATCCACAGGAGTGAGTTTCTCCAGCTCTTGGGGCGTCGGAAACAGCCGTTCAGGCTCCATCACAATGTTCTCATCGCTCTCCTTTCTTGCTTCAATAGCTTGCGTATTCACTTCCTGTTGGCCGTCATTTGAGGTCTCTGAGTCTACGTCATCGTCCGAGTCGTAGTCTGAGTAGTAATCACTCTCGTCAGGAATGGTGCGACTACCGACCAGCAGATCAGCGTGAAGTTTCTGGAAGTGCCCACCGATTCCGTCTTGTTGCACTTGTTGTTGTTGTTGTTGTTGTTGTCTGTGCATCTGCATAAAGAGGCCCACGTGTTTGAAACGATCACGGAAATGAGCTGCTAAAGGCGACAGCGTAGCGTCACCTTGAGCCTGTTCATACAGCGCACGATACGCTTCTCTCTCCTTGAATTTAATCAGATCAATCATCGCTGCATCCTCCTTGGCGAAGAGTTGCAACACTCGATCATTTAGAGGGATGGTAGCGGTATTCGCGGTATGTGGAGTCGCAGTTCTTGTGTCGATTGACTCGGGGCCATGACGAGCAGTATTCTCATTTGTTATCGTAGTCTTTATATCATCGGGTCTCGCAGTGCGACCAAGTCTACTCCTTGCTGTTCGTCTGGTTACTTGAGTACAATTGACGTCGTTATGGTAATGAGGGGCTGCGGTCGTCTCGTTTCTAGTAGTATTTTCAACAAGTCGCTCGTGTTCCAACATTTGCATTACGTCTCGGAATTGACAACACAAATTGTAGCCGATAGAGGACGAATGACACAAGGCACAACTTGAAATCGAGGCATCTGGGGCAGATAAAGTAGCTCGTTTGAGGTCATTGGTCTCCGGGACGACGCCACTCTTTTCGGGACATGATCTTCCAGTAGTAGCGTGAATACTATCCACGGACGCAGTGCGATTCAAAATCCGCTTACGTGTGTCCACAGCGACAAGACTTTCACATCTGCTTTTCCCACTTGCGTTGCTGTTCGGACGACTGCTTCTCCTTGTTAGATTCGCTGTATCTTCCAGTCCCACAGCTATATTCATACCGCGCGCTTTGTCGTTTAAATGTCGATTAATATGTTTGAGACGTCTCTCCTGGTGATCGGCACAGCGGCTTTCAATTTGACGCGTTGACGCCGCCACTTGAGCTCGAAGTTGAGCTGTAAACCCAGTGCCACCTCGTAGATTTGGACCATAAACTTTCGTCTGGCCTGCTCGCATTCGATTCGATTGTTTAAGTTGAGCTTTAGCTCGAAGCAGAAGACGCTCCATTTGTTGTTGAGCTAGTGAGAGCCCTGCGCTGCCGCTACTAGAGTCCAATAGTCGGAGTTTCCAGGCTCCTCGACGCTCCACAACGTACTCTCCTGGTTTCGTATCTTTCCCGACGACTGCAGGTGGTAGTTGACGTAGAACTGCTACACCTGCATCAGAGTCTGCACCGAGATAAAACCAGTCTTGTTCGAGGTAAACTTCATCGTTGTTGTAGACGAAGTTCTAAAACAATTACTACTGTAGTAAGCTTTGAGTTTTGCATTTCAGCAAAATTAAATAACTTACGTCTTTTTGTTTACGACGCTGGCACACCGCTGAGCGAATGATCCATTTGCCGAGCATCTTTGCTGTTTTATTTCGTAATCGCGATTGGATCTCGTCAACTTGCATGTCGCCATCATCGCGACTCTAACAAAATTGAATGTTAGCCTCACAGTTTTTTTTAAGGAAATGGAATAACAAACCTTTGGCAAATAAGCTGTGACTGGGACTGGATACCCCACAGCAGCGGGTGCTTGCACGTCGTTGCGAATAGAGTCATCGTCCAGTAGACCAAGAGCTTTCAGTTGAGGTGCTTCACGAACTTTGGCTCCCAGAACTCCACCTTGTTCCCACGAAACATCACCCGGACCCACACTAAGTTGTAGCCATACCGAGTCACCATAACGTATCGATCCTGCGCTTCGGACGTCTACGAGATCCAACAGCGTGAAAATCGCTCGATCCTTGTAGCCTTTGGCTTGAGGCGTCTGTAGCTTCTCGAGCGATTGCACACGAACATGACCATCCGGACTGCCTACCATCATGAGGTGGCCATTGAATAACTCCAACGCCACACTGCAACCGTAAGACAGTCGAGTTGCTTGCGAGTTGAAATCATTGCGAAGCTTCTCCGCGTCAGATACTGGAGTAATATTTGTTGTAGAAGTTGCAGGAACGGCTACACCTGGCGTAGGAATTGCTGATACTTGAAGCACTCCAGATCCTTGATTCATCGGTAGATTTTGACTTTGAGTTAGCTGGTTTTCAATGCCATGGCCATTGTTACTAGGTGATGCTGGTGGGATTAACGGGGTCGATGCTGATGTTCCTAATGCGTTGAGTCTCTTCATGATCTCAGTTGAATTAACGTTCGGACCCCCAACAACTCGCAGTCCTGCGCCAACTAAGGTTGATGGGGATGTTGTTAATATACCTAGAGGCCTTAGCTCCTCACGAAGTCTTGCCGATTGGTGCAAGTCGGGTAAGCTTTCCACGTTGGGTAGAAATGGAGTCGACCTCCTTTGAGTGTTACTATGTCGCTGGTTAGTGTTTTTATCTTCTGGAGTTGTTGTTTTCGATCCTCGTTGTTTAAGCTTCGCCGACTTTTTTCCACGCGCTAACGAATCGTCGTCTTCGTCGCTTTCGTCTCCATCGATGGATTCTGCAAAAGCTTCCAACCGCTCGCGTGAAGGTTGATTGTTGCGTTCGTGGACGAGATCCAAATACTGCCAGACATTGGACGAGCGCCCAAACGTATGAGGACGAGAACTCGACGCCGTCCGAACGATAGGGATCATCCTTCTTTTAATTATCGAGTAAATGACAAAAATGAATCAACTAAAAAAAGAAATCAAAGAAAAAATAATGACATCTATTTTATATGACTGGAAGATCTTCCGAGAGCGTCGCTTCACCTCATCACTACACGCTACACCGATGAATGACTACCATGCGCTGCTACAGGTTTTACGAGAACATATCCGGTGGGTGCTCTAGCAGCCATTGCTGTTAGAAAAAATGCTAACTCGATGTTGCTCACTTAAGCGCGGTCTGCGTTCACGACCAAGCTCAGTGGATTGCAACGTGGAAGGTCTGAACTTACTAAAGCACCGAGTTGATAGCTGTAGATTTACCACGTTTGCTGTGCTTTCAGGAGGTGCTTGGCGATTTGATCAACTCTCGACGTGTGGTTATTCCTCCTTATGTATTCTTCGACGTGCTGGAAGCCAACAACGTGGTTCTCGGTAGATCTGAAGCAGGACTGCTGCTGAGTAAATTCCAAGAACCGAGTGGAGCTGTTGTAGCAACCAAATTTCTTCGCTGGATTGCTTTGAATGCACCTGCGGACCACGTGGATCCTGATTTACTATTCACACAACTCCCACAACCGTATCGACGTATTAAAAAGATTTTAGATCATGATATTTTCGATGGAGCGTGGGAAGCTATCAAGTTGGAAAGCACGCGATACAAATCTGAAAGTGCTTTTAATAAAGGTGTTATAGACACCTCTAGATCTGGCACATCCGAGTCCAATCGCCACCAAACAAACAACAACGACTTCATTGTCGCTAAAAGGCGATCTTGCGAACCTTCATGGCGCATTGCAGGCGAGAAGGACACCCATAGTGTCGTGGGGCTGGCCTCTCACTGCCTCATACCCGTCTTGGTAGCCGCAATAAACAGCGATACCGCGTCAATATTACGAGTGATAGACTCAAGTGGCAACGATGTCAAGGTCCTGGGAGATTTTCCCATTACATTTCCACTAGACGCTCAAACTCCCGCGACTACAGAGATGATCACGAAGTCTCACGTGTCGATTAATCAGATCAGTGCCTTGCAGCTAGCAAGCGATACAAGTTGCGGTCTTGCAGTGCATCTGGTGGAGACAACCGTTACTGAGGTTGTCAACGTAAATCCAAGCTCAGACGTCCAGCCTCCAACGTCAACAACCCGCGAATGTGTGAACGTTTACACCATAACAACAGTGGCCTCAGAAGTCTCCTGTCAGCTTGTTGCTGTGATAACTCCGACACAAAGTTCAGAACTCTCGATTTCTTCGATTGTCTTGTCCCCGGACTCCAAGATTTTCGCTGTCACCTTAGTGGACTCAGCGATTGTCGTCCTGTACTTTATTAACGTTGAACTCGAAGCTGAACATGAGCCGTTGAAGCTGACATCTCCAGTGTTTCAAGTTGACCTGGAGTCAACACGCTCGCCGTTTACGGAGGACATACGTGGACCTAAAGTACATTTTCTAGTGACGCCATGTACGACCCGTCCCAAGACACTTGTTGCGCCTGAAACATACGCACTGGCAGTGTGCTACGAGCTGAAATTGCTCAAGTATTTGCTGCCATCCACAGAAAACCTCAAGACCAGTTCTGCATCGCCTCTAGTCTTAGCCCCAGTAAAATCGTGGGAACAGTTGACAAAGATCACTGCTTCAGCACAGGATCTCACGACGCAGTTCGTCGTTGTGGGATGTCAAGATGGCTCCATTGTCGTGTGGGACGTGCTGCGAGACGTCGATTATGCCTTCCTCTCTTCAAAAGACAACGCTTCATGCGAGATTACCAGCGTCGTATTCTACCAGGCTGAACACGTCGTCGCACTGTCCACAGCTCAGCAACGGCTCTACTTTTTCGACATCCGAGAACGCGGTAAGCCACTTCTAACACGTGAATTTTCTCCACTATCGAACTCAACTTCGACCAGTTCGATAACTAGCCTTACACTGGCAACATCAGATTTCCCACTGGCCCTTGTGCAGTACTCGAACAAAATGGTCATTTGCTATGACGTTCGAACTGCTGAAGCGGTCGGCAGCTTTCGCTTTGAATCTACACAAAATCCTAGTTCGACGAGTGTCGTGGGCAACCAGGAGCTTCTTGCTGCAGTTGCAGGATCACAGGTAAACCTGTACAGTTGGCGCGATGTTCTCTTGGTGTGTTTCCCTTTCTTCATCGAGACGCTTGAGCAATGTCAAGAAGAACCGGTAAGTTGAATGCATCCTTTCCCTTTCTTGTTTCTGTCATCGACTCACCGCTCACATCTACTGTACACATAGTCATTGCAGACTAGCTCCAACATCAGAAAGCTCCTCAGCGACACAACTACAGGTCCTCTCGCTCCCGTTCCGTCCAGCGTCACAACCCAAAGCACGCCCACAGACCTTCTAGAAACGATGTTCTTGCGGATGGCTGGCGAGCTCCGGTCTCCCCAACGCGCGCAGAAAGCTGTACCAACTGTTCCGTCCCCTTTGCAGTCTCCGGTCGGCCAGAACTCCACATCTTTGGCCTCACTTCCCAGTCGAGACCCGTACGATGAACCTACAGACACCAGCGTAATGCTGCAGCCACTCGTGCCTGACCTCGACGCGCTCGTCGACCAATACTGCAGTGATAACCTCGACCCTCTAGTCATCGCAGACAAAGAAGCCCGACTACATCGCAAACGTCGAGAGCTTCTCAAGACCATGGCAGCAGGGGGAGGCTGGTAGTATAACAGACAACAATATTCTGTTGGATAATCCGAACTTGTTCGTAAATCTCGTCGAATCTCATGAAAATATGGCAAACTAGCACAGTAGTGTACAACTATGTCGAAACGTAGGTTCCATACCAGGCTCTTAGCGTTTTCTGCTTGAACGAACAAGACACTTGTCCAGTAGATTGTTCGCCAGCACTGCTGCCTTTGGTCTTGGCACTTGGAGGACTTTGCTCACCTCTCCATCGCTCAATGCTTCGGCGTGGATATCCATCAGATACCGTGCAAGTAAAGGAGCTTCGCCAAGTCCATGTAGCTCAGCAAACAGACACCAAACCATCGGAACTACCACGCGGTAATCTTTCATGAGCACCAGTCCTTCACGCGCTGTATCTGGTCGTCCAGGGGTATCGTGAGCGAGCATTTCGCGCCAATTATCGTGCAGTAAAGTCTCGTTGGTAATGAGGCCAGGTTCTCGTCCTCCTCGACACACGAAATCCACCCATCGAGCCATCCACTTGGCATCGATGCAGAACCAGCAATCGCGGCGAGACAAAGCCTGCTTGTCGTAATGCATGACCAGCTCCAGCTCAAATTTCCGGCGTTTGTCGAAATCTTCTTCAAGTTGAGGCATCGGTGCGGAGCGGCGTACGACGTTAGAATGTTGATTGTCTTGCTGTTTCTTCGGTGGCAAGCGGAACACTAATGTGCGCGGTTGGTGGCTCAGATCACTGAGCTTTAGGCCCACTTCTTTAAGTGACGCGTGCGAAACATCCTCTCCGTTAATTCGCACGATCACTGAGCCCGGGGCGATATCTCCAGTACGTTCGAGAGCGCCTATCGATCCATCGTTTAACCTGACAAACCCCATCACCACAGCGCGCCCCAGCACTCCGCCATCCAGGTTAAGACCCAATGGACCAGGGGGAGCAACTGCAGTCATATACTCGGCGTCTTCGTCCTCTATAGAGTCGTCGCGGTCGAATTGGTTCGTCTGTACCATAAGCGAAGCAGCGATGGTCCCCGAGGAGACATTGGACGCCATTGACAGCGGCACAGGCGACGGTTTTTGTGGTGACACTTCCTCGGGGCGATCCTCTCTGCTCGCGGTATCGAAGTCTTCACTGTCGCCCGAGTCGCTTGAGTCGTCGCTATCGAAATGGCGAGTTTCTGCCAACTTTGCCATCGTACCAAACGATAATTCCTTGGGTAATGGTGACGACGGAGCAGTGTCGAGTTCCAGCGATAGTCCCTTGATTTGTTCATAAGATGGAGGTGGCTGCTCTGGAAGTGATGACATCTGGTTTGTTTCCTCACTCGCCTCCTCCTCTGTCGAGCTCCCACTGCTGGCTAATGGAGTGGTCGAAGACTCGTCCAAGTTCGATCCTGTCAGGGTCCAGCTCGTACTTTCGTCACTCCCTTGCGCAGACGCCATGTGAATCTCCTGGAAAGACTCGTCAGCCGAGGACGAGTCCCGTTCAGCTGCTACAGTCTCTTCTTCTTCTCGTGGCGGTGAGCCTCTACTCGGCGCGTACTGTTGATTCAATGGCAGACTACTGTCCTGCGTCTCTAGCGGCTGTGGCAGTACTGCTTTTGGCTGTATCTGCACCTCATCATCCGACACTTCTTCTTCATCATCCTCTTCTTCCTCTTCTTCTCTTGGCGGAGGGCCTCTTCTTGGAGCGAATTGCTGACTCAAAGGCACGTTGCTGTCTTCCGCCACAGGTACGTGGACCTTAAGTGTGCGTTGCATCTGACTCGTGTCACGCAAGACTTCGCCCACCTCTTCGAAGCTTAAGTCCGACTTCGTGAAGTCGTGCTCATTTATTCCTACTAATACACTCCCTACAGGCACGCGACCGCTGAGCTCCACAGCTCCACGTTGTTGCGGATTAGAGGGCAATACCTGGGCGAAACCTTCGAGCACGGGACGGTCGAGGTCGTCACTGTCTAGCATGATACCTAAAGGGCCGGGAGGTACCTCCACCTCCACTACAGCATGACGACTGCCGCCTAGAAGCCATCGCGCGCTGGCCGCCATAGAGACGCTTGCTTATGGCGCCCGATTAACCTGATTCATGTCAGTACATTGCGATAGGTGACACTAAAATGAGGGAAGTGGGCATCGAGAGGTCTTTCTTCAACTTGTTTACAAACATTCTGAGATTTCTTTAAACACATGCCCTGCCGGACCGCAAAAGCTCAGTCCGCACTAGATCAGTAACACGATCTACTCCTCCTTAAGTGCGTGTTTGCGTGTCTGCTTGAAGTTCTTCATGGCCTGCGACGTCTTGGTAATGCGGATGAACCAGTCCACGAACCACATGGGCATAATAGTCGACACAAACTCCATGACACTCAAGATGGACGGCAGCAACACACGCCACTGGTTCCTACGCACAGCCTTGACGATCTGGTCGGCCACGAATTCAGGTGTCAGCCATCTCGTAAAAGGTGGGGGCCTCACCCCTTCGAACATGCCCGTCGTAATAAATCCCGGACACACGATAGTCGTATGGACTCCAAAGAGCCCCATAGCGTGAAGCTCCTGTCTCAAACTCAACATCAGCCCAATGGCTGCGAATTTACTGGCTCCGTAGTCCACCATCCCAGGCGACCCGAAGATACCGGCGGCACTGGCCACCGACACGATGTGGCCCTTGTTCCGCTTGCTCATCATTGGCAAAAACGTCTTGATGGTCCAGAAATGAGACGTGGTGTTCACCGCAATAGTGCGCTCGATCATAGCGTCCGAGGACTCGAGTAGGGAGCTGCCACCGACGATACCGGCGTTGTTTACAAGGATATCGACGGCTTCGAACTCCTTGAGCACTTCTTTCCCTGTGGCGTATACCTGCTCTCGGTCCGTCATATCCACTATAAAGAATCGAGCTTTACCACCGCTAGCTTCGATCTCCTGCACCAGTTCTTGACCCAAATCTGCGTGTAGATCCCAGATGACGATGACGGCGCCTAACGCGGCGAAACGGAGCGCCACCAGACGCCCGAGTCCCATGGCCCCGCCGGTGATGACGACGACATTGTCTTTGACGGGCTTCTGCGGCCAGATCCAGTTGAACATGGCGTATAGCTAGCGAAATGACAGCTCGGAATGGAGCTGCTCTTTCGATGATGGCTACGAGCTCTTGGCGTAATGTTTGGCGGAGTTTGACGTGAGCTACAAGTTGTAGTACAACGTCCTTACACAAAACAAGCAACTTGTGTCGAATTAATTATGCCACTTCACCTTCAACGTGGATGCGCATTCGGTCTCCGAATCGGAGACCACCATGAAAGTGACCATCCCGCCATTTTGGCACCGCAATACCGTACATGTACATGTACTGTACCTGTAAGCGATTGCCAAGTTGCGGCGACAATAACAGTGTTATTTTGTTTTTGCTGCAAAAGTGTTTTCGGTAGTGCACGCCATAGTAAGGTCGCAAATGTGATTGTTACTAAGTCAAGTTCTTACACGTGAAGCCCACGTCCACTTCGATGAAATGACGCAAGCGCGGACATACTGACAGTCACTCAACGCTCACGGGTCAACCCGTCACAGCCTCCAACCCACAGGCCAAATTCATTTTCTTCCAATCACATTTTCTCTCCAATTTTATCCAGTCAACTATCTAGTAGGTACCCCTGATAAGCACCATAGTAACCCCCACTCGTCGCGCTCCATGGCGGACTCGGACGCGAGCTCAGGCTCGAGCAGCAGCTCCAGCTCCGACTCGGTGCTAATTCGCGTGCCGCTGGATCAAAAGCGGCGGAAAAAGCTGCGCGCGCAGCTTCAGGAGGACCAGCGGCGGCAGCGCGAGCGTCAATCTTCTCTTTCTGCCTCACCCAGTCTTAAAACGATCAAACCAGAGCCTGACGGCGACCGCAGCAAGGTATAATAGATATTTGCGCTTCTAGTCGATTTTTAACACTCTTTTAACGTCAAAATCTTTTTATTCCTACCAGGGAGAGCATATTTGCGTCGTCTGTGAGCGTGAGGGCGACGATCTCGTGGTCTGTGCTGGTCCCTGCATTTCCGCTTTCCACTTAAGCTGTCTGCCGGCCAGAAGCGGCGTCTCTGACGCCTTAGACGAAGCCTGGTTGTGCCCCAGCTGCACGAATAAGACTCACGCGTGCTTCCACTGCAAAGAGACGGGCGTTGAGACGCTCAAGGACGATGCACCGGCCTCTACAGGCATCGATCCTAATAAGAGACCCGTACGTAAGTGTCGCGCGCTCTCCTGTGGCAAATTTTACCACCAGGAGTGCATTACGCAGTTCCCATTGGCCAGAATTGCCATCAACACGCATTTTATCTGCCCGCTGCACACATGCGCGGGCTGTAACGAGTCAGGAGCGCAGCAAGAAGCCGTCAGGTGTATGAGGTGCCCCGTGGCGTACCACGCCAAGTGTTTGCCGTCCAACTGCGTGCGTCAGATCTCGTCCAAGTTGATAATTTGTCCCAAACACGGCGATATCAAGCCCAAGTCTGCAGTATCCAGGCAGTTGAGTGAGGTGCAAGCACAAGACGAGAATGAAGACGAAGCAGCAATGAGCGAAGCATCAGTCAGTAGCGCTAGAAAGAAGGAGAAGAAGGAAAAACGAGAGAAACGTGACAAGAAGAAGAAGAAAAAGAAGAAAAAGAAAGACAAACACAAGCGAGACAGTCTCGCGTCCCATGCAGACGACGAACAGGAGCACGACGAGAGCAGCAAGAAGCGGAAACGCAGCAAACGAGAGTCGCTAGATGCAGATGGAGACAAATGCATGCCGTCCACGCCTTCCCATCGTCATGTGGAAACCAATCTTACAGTCAGTGCGCCGTCTATTGACGCAGGAGCAACGCGGTCGCCGACTGCATCGCTTGATTTGTTTGAGAGCCCGTCGACTGCTACGAAACGGATACAGGAGCGACTGGAAGAGGCTCTGGGGAAGAGTGATGACGATGACTCAGACGTCTCGATGGCTAGTCCTACGCTGAAGAAGAGACACTCCAGTAGCCAGATGATTGGTGATGCTGCGGCCTCTACAGCCGCTGTGAAGGAGGAGCCATCGTCGAAGACTAGGCAGGACGAGTCGAACTCGCCGGTTCCTTCGTCACCTGTTCCTGCGAGTCCGTCAGGAGACAATGACTCGTTAGAAGCGCACTCGTCTGCAGAAGAAGATACTCCTGAACGCAGGAAGCAGCGTCGTGAGGGTCGGGACAGCAGTAAACGTGGCGAGCAGCGTCAAACTATTGACGATGGGCTGAAGCTCGAGACCCCCAAGTCTCCGTCTGCGAGTGTTTTGATTCCGTCGAGCAGTTTGATGCTCCAGCATGTGCCAAGTGAAGACGAAGACGAGGAGGAAGAAGGAACAGCGGAGTCTAACGCTGATGCGATGCCAAAACCAATGAAAACTGGCAGAGGTTACGGCAAAAAGAAGAGGAAGAACAAGATGAAGCGTGTATTGAAGAGAGAGACCAGCGAAGAGGATGAAGAGGAAGTGAACGAGGCCAAGTGGGTACAATGTGACAGCTGCAAGAAGTGGCGGACAGTGCCGAGAGATTTCAACCTGGACGCAATGCCCAAGCACTGGTATTGCAACATGAACACGTGGGACGAACGATTCGCTTCCTGTGCGGTTGCTGAGGAGGTTCTGAAGGCTAATCCGTCCCCTCAAGCAGGTAAGCGGAGGAAGTTGAAGGCCAAGTCCAAATCAACTGCGTCCAGTACTGGAGACGACGGGTATTCCTCGTCTGGGTCAGGTGTGTGGAAGCGATCAGGAGGCTCTGCTACCGACATGACAGTGTTGGAAGACAAGGACAAGCACTCGAAGTCGAAGCACAAGGATAATGTGTCGAAGAAGCGCAAGATGACGAAGCAACTCAAGGAGAAATACCGAGAAGTCAAGTGGGTGCAATGTGAGAGTACACAGTGCGGCAAGTGGCGGGTTGTTCCCGCGTCAATCAACTTTGATCGGTTGCCGGCTGTGTGGTACTGCAGTTTGAACACGTGGGCTCCGGAGCTGGCCAAATGTAGCGCTCTGAATCCTCCGGAAGTCGATACGTTCTTGTTGAAGCAGAACAAGAAGGAAGGGCGGCCGTCCAAGAAAGCGCGAGCTTCCTCTTCGTCTATGGATGCCACACCCACTGCCTCCGTATCTGGTGCCAGTGGTGGGATGACTTCCACATCTTCGGCCAATGATCTCACCAAGTTAAAACACGGGAAGAGCTCCATTAGGTTAACGTCTGGAGCAGGGAACACTGCCCCAATTACGGGAATCAATACCGAAGCTAGTAGTAACAACGGAGAGAGCAACACTGGCAAAGGACGAGGAGGACGCCCGTCCACTGGCATCAAGAAGACGGTGTTGGAGTGGGCGCAGTGTGAGAAGTGCAACAAGTGGCGCAAGCTGCCGCAACACATCAAATCCTCCACTCTGCCGGATAAATGGTACTGCTCGATGAACCACTGGGACCCAACGCACGCCAAGTGCAGCGTCCCGGAAGAAGCCGATCAAGAGCCTCTGCCATTGCCACCTCATCCTGGTTCGCAGTGGCATAAAGGAGGACACAAAGGGCAGCGTACAAAGCGCGGCAAGCTGAGCTACTCGGAGCTGCTTTACGGTAGTACGGGGCAACTACGTAAGGCTTATACGCGCGAGTCATCGACGCTGTCATTCGAGTACGAAGGCGTGACGTATCATCGAGATGGTCAGTATAGTCACAGTAGTATGTACGTGTCTCCAGCGGCGATGGCGGCCGCTGCGACGATGGCAGGATGGAGTGGAAGTGACCGAGTCACTCGAGAGACAAGCTGCATGAGTGACGACAAGGTGGACGCGTTGGCAGCTCCCACGCTGCCTCCCACGCTGCCTCAGGCGAGTGTCGATCAGGTGGCTGCGTTGGTGCTGGAGAACATGGACTTGCGTAGGCGTCGCAGCGTGTCCGAGCTCTTTGATGTTGTGAACTCGCAACGAGGATCCGAGGCTGCAGCTCTCGCTTCATTGGCTGTGGTCACGGCTGCGCTAGGACAGCTGGAACATCGAGGCTTAGTGGAGAAAGTGGACGAGTTCTCGGACGAAGACGATCCGCAGAAGCGACGGAGACTGGATTCGCTCTTCAACGGCGTGCTCGCAGTGCCCACACATTACCGGAAGGTGCCCACGCGGCCTCTGAAGGCGTCGAAATGCTGGAAATTCGGTAGCAACGTGGTGGCCCTTTCGTCAGTAAAGGACTGAGAACATTAAAGATGTAGTAGCGAATTCTCAAGACTGAAGAGAAAACGGAAATGTAAGTGCATTATTCTCTCAAAGGGTTGAGCTGGGGCTTTTACTTTTTTGTTCAAGCAACCAGACTCCTCCTGTTGCCATGGCCTTGAGAAGCTCTCGACGTTAACGATGCCGGTAGATTGCGGCGCTGGTAAGCTCGCATGAAGCGTAGTCTTCCGAAGAGAGGAAAATGCCACACTATAATGGAGCCATCTTGACATCCCACAACGATGAGACCTGTGCTGAAACTGTGATCTAAGTTTAGTGTTGCTAAGACTACACCTTTGCCAGTCCAAACTGGCGGCAATGTAAACCAATCCCGTAACTAGATTTTTTTAATTTTTTAGAAAAATAATTTCTGAAATTTACTACAGCCCAAACTCGAAACGTTATGCGGTGAAAATGCGGTTTGATTGAACGTGGTGGTGGGGAACACGGCGATATTGAACCTGAAAGCACCCCAGTGCACGAGGACGCAAGTGACATCGTAAATGAAAATTTTTATATCGGGGGTTTAGACACGGAGCGAATTTAGTTTGGACGATGATTTTGACGACATGTCTCGAGCCGTTGCAGATATTAATCTACAGCAATAGATTGTTTTGATGAACACTTTTAATAGACAGTACATGAAATTTCTGGTCTATGTACGAACACTTTTCTGAATGTCATAACTAAGGAAATTCGGTAAGAAGAATTCTGTCCATTAAATGCAAACATGGGAAGATTTGAAAAAATGTAATGACGTTTTCTTACAAGCGTTATTACTAAGGTGGGGTGTCGGCTCTATATTTTTTAGAACCGCACTTTTTCTTTTCCCGATTTTATTATTGTTACGATGTTGTATTGAGACCGAGCGTCGCACTGAGACCGTGGTTTACGGTATTCACTGTGAAGTGCAAAAACGAAATGGATCCTTCCGCGTAGTAAATTGTACTGCGATTCATTGCTCATGTGGTCTTTAAGTCGACTCCAGTATTCATGAGTACACGGATACGTTGCCTTTCAGACCGTAAAGTGCTCCGTCGAAGACAGTGTGGCGCCGTACTACCGTTACGCATGTCTACAAGCGGTGTTTGAGAATTCGCTTACTCCAGTTGACATCAACTCCTCCTTTAAAGACGACATCACACACTCTCCTCGATTTTATTGAAGAGCTGGTTGTCCACGCAACCAGAGTCGCTTGCGCAGTCAATGAGAAGATATTCCAGAAAAATCGCCAATTGTTTGCTCCAAATGTGGTCGTAGAGGCCACAATATTTGTATATGTGCTTGTCGGCAGACACTTGCCGGAGAATGTAGTAATACGCCTCATAATTCATAAGAAAGCGAAAGGGTAACAATCTATCATTTGATTTTTACAGCTTGTGCCGTGTCTTACTAATTGTTTCTCTTAATAGCGTTGCAATAAGGAGACGCAACTAATTGTGCACGTGTATTGGTTTGGTACCTAAGCAGCTAAATTAGTGATGGCATTGTGAAGACCTCATTCCTACTTTCGATTCTTACGAATACGTTTGATTCTTATACGGAACGGTTAAGACGATTGCCTAACGTTTGGACGCATTACTGATTTCTTTGCTGGAGAACTGCACTGTACCACCTCCGATAGTACTATCTGACTTAGTTTGTACTTGCTGTAAATAACGCGCTGGACCAAAAGGTCCAATCCTTGATGGGATCCTGGATAACATGCTCTTCAGCGGTAACGATGACAATAGCCAATCGTAGTCCTCACTGTGGCTACCTAATGTGAGCTTGGTAGCCGATTAGCGAATTCCACTAGGAGCTAGTACCGATTAGCAATTTCCCTTTAAAATTGATACTACGTAGTCCTACACATTGTGTACTATTTCGATGATCCATTTTCTAGTGTCGACATTGTTATTCCTGTGGGAGGGTACTTAAGGAGCAGGAATTACTACCGAAGAGTTCATCTGTAAAACCTAGCAATATGCTTGGCTTCCCCAAAAATAAAATCATCGGGTTTCGACTCGCTTAAAAATGTGAAACCATGCACAAAGCAGAATTTCAACTCTTAAGAGCGTCAGTAGTAAAAGGAATATTGACCTTCCGAATCTCACCAAGTCGCTAAAGCTGGGTGCTATGCTAAGTGCAATGTATAAGTATTAGAGCATACGGTCAACCCGACAACCAGAATAACTAGGCTATGAAGGAGGATTTAAGTCCAAATGACGCATCGCTTAGCGGCTCGAGGGGTACCCTAAGGCCGGGAGACAGTGGGGCGGTAGATCTCAAGGTCGTCCGCGACCGCGAAGACAGAGGTCTTGTGGACAAGCATCATTCCCTTGCCTCGAAAGACACTGGCAAAACATATGGACTTACTTCACGGGATAGCTTTTCGCAGGGAGCACGACATGCTAGAGAGACGCAGGTCGACAAGGTCATACGAGATCGTAAGCTTAGCTAAATGTAACCCATGTTTGTAGCGAGGTTACACTGTGCGGGACACACAGGGTACGGCGTACCCGGAGAGTTAACAAACTTTGAGTACATTAATCGGAGGGTTAGCCATGACCACCAGAACGTGGGTACGACACTCATTGATCAGGTTTAACTATTCTATAGCTAAACAGATATATTTATCCTTTAGGCGGCTTGGCCGCAATAAAAGTAAATACGACACTTCTGATTAGAGCGGAAAGCTGGTAAGTGTTGATAACAACTTTGGACCCTGGTTATTGAGCTATATAAGTCACCTTCGGATAAGGAACTTAGTATTACGGACTCTTTGAGTCGGACATTTTCTTCTGACGCAAAGCGACGGCAACTTTATAAAATAGAAAACGTATCGCTTGTGAAAATCGCCTCAATATCCTAGACCCTTGCCTAGGTTGCTAGCTAAGTTTTTAAGTATGCGATAACGAAGAGTCGAGACGTATGAATTAGAGCTCACTCTATTAACCCCTTCAACCCGGTAGCTGTATAAGCTGCGTTTGAAATCAGCTGTTACGCTGTATATACAGCGTAGTGGTTTTATACCTAAATAAACTATACTAGTTTCTGACAGATTCACAAGGTATACAAAAGCGAAGATTAAAATTTGAGAGCCGGAAAATGTATCTTCCTACAGATGAGTCTAAAGAGAGAGAGAAAGGCCGCTTCTAATTTCTCGATTTTTTTTAGATATTATAAGTGCCAGGTTTGGCACAGTCTTTCGAAGCAGTATACTTTTTGGGAGGTAAATTTCGCGCCCTTTTCGCAAGCTTGAGCGCCAGTCAAAGATTTTCTGCGGTGGACAACAAGCGGTTGAGAACTCGTGATGGTGGGGACCCGCGAAACATCTCGAGGGAGTTGTTCTGGCGGAGCAACTCCGGTACCTGTGCCCGTGCGGGGGCCTGACAGCTTCCGCGTACTCTGGGCTGGCCTTAAGTCGGCTGGGTGGACCGCGAAGCCACCATCAAGCCGAAGCCTAAATCATTTCTGGAAGTACATCAAGCCAGGCGGTGATCCCAGTGGAAAAGAGGGAGTGGACTACTTTCTTGGAGAGCAAGCTCTATTACTGTACTCTCGAGAAGGTTTGCCATACTTTGAGTTGTTTTGGTTAGTCTTTATTGACGTTGCTAGTTGTATTACATTTGTGTATAGTGGTGAAGAGAAATCACGAAGCTCGACTCCAGCAAGAGCGACAAATCGCAGAGGCGGATAAAGGTGTTTCTCCTTCTGCGGCTTCTTCTGCGTCAGCCGCTGTTCCTGTTGCTACAGCTCCTGTCGATGCTGCTGCTGACCAGCAACTTGGAACGCTACCTGAACACCCAGCACCAGGTGATGTGGTCGCTGAGAGTGCGATATCCGCACCTGTGCCAACTACTCCAGGTAATGTTGCCTCGCGCTTTGTACATTTGATATGCTGTATCTAATGATGTATAAGCTCTTTTTGCTGTATCAGCCGTCATGGCTGATACAGCTGTATCAGCCGTCATGGCAAGTGCAGTCAGCGACTCCCGGCCGGCGCAACCTCCCCCAAGGCGTGTAGCTTTGTCAACTACTCCAGGTGATGTTGCATCGCGCTTTGTATATTTGAAATGCTGTATCTAATGATGTATAAGCTCTTTTTGCTGTATCAGCCGTCATGGCAAGTGCAGTTAGCGACTCCCGGCCGGCTCAACCTCCCCCAAGGCGTGAAACTTCGTCAGCACCTTCGACTTCCGTGTCCCGTGCGCCAGGTGAGGAGCAATTCAGTCGATTCTGCGCTACGATGCACTGCTAACTCGTTATTCAATGCTGACTGTGTGCTACCGTTAGCCAATGCTAGTAGCAAACCAAGCGGCTGTCGCAGCAATGATAGCGACTTGCAGCAACCGAGACGACACCATAGTCCTCTTCCTGCTCGTGGAGAAGATGAAGAATCGAAAGAAGAGAGTCGTACTGGCGATTGGGGTAGGATTACTTTCTTGAGTTGGATATACATCGTACATCATACATCGTATGCCTAACACGTACATTATGCTGTATTATTTGGTGTATTAGGTACCCACGACGTCGTTGACATGCTAGGTGACGGTGACGACGACTTGAACGCACCTGAAGGCAGTGATGATACCTACTGTGTGCTAGACTCGGGGACCGAATCAGAGGAGATAGACCTGGACGATTTGGATGTCAGTGACGCTGACTCGTCAGGATCAGATACGATCGATGAAGAGGACGATGACATGTATGCAAAGGAAGAACGCCATTTTTCAGACAGTTTTCTCAACTCAATCGGTGGCCACGACAGCGTTCTGGCTGGTGATATCATCGGACCTGCACTGAAAGATCTCGGTACTACTGGATGGCATGATCCCGAGACGCCCAATGTCACGCAATATCTGCAAACACCGTACACTCCTGTTCCATCTAGCGACGATTATCCAGATCTGATGGGTGAACGCGGTGGACCGACTGAAGAGGCTTTGAAGCGTGGAGCGTCGCCTATCGCACTATTCCTTATGTTCATCCCAGTGGCGCTGTGGCAGCATATAGCAGAGTGCAGCAATCTTTACATGCATGAGCAGCTAGATGCCCGTGTGGATGCCTATTTTGAGAGAAAGGAACAGCAAGCACAGAAGGCGCGACGAGCTGGACGCGCAGTACAACAAGAAAAGAACAAGACAAGACGAGATGTACGCCAAGAGTTCCATTCGGTGAAGCCGATAATGCCGCACGAGCTGTGCGTCTACATCGGCCTGTTGATAGCTCGAACAATCATGCCAAATCGCGAAAAACTAGCGAACCACTGGAGGCTGTCAGAGCAAGGGGCACTTCCAAGAGGCACATTTGGGAAATTTCTCTCACGAGATCGATTCATGCAACTCACTCAAAATCTCCACTTCACGAGCAACCAAGACCCAC